GATCCAGAGGGGTAGCCCATGTTATAGCATAGAGAAGAGCAGGAGTCCAGGAGCCCCTGAAAGACTAACAAAATTTGTGGCACGGTCCGTGAGTCACGAAAGCTCCTCCCCTGCCACAAATGTTGTTAGTCTTTTAGGGGCTCCTGGACTCCTGCTCTTTTCCATGGATTTTTAACGAAGGGGTTGGCCTTTTAAAATTGTTTTTATGGGCTGGTCAAGCCTGAGAACTGTCCTCTGTGTTTAATGGCATTTTTGTTTGTATACTCTGGTGTGGGGCTGTTATTATTATTTTTTGCTCTGGCTCATTTTTCATGGCTATGTTTTTAATGGCTCTCTCTGTGTGTGTGTGTGTTTGTGTTGTGTTATTTTAGCTGTGAGCCACCTCAGGCAGATCTCTGAAGAGGTTACATATAATTTTTTGGAAATAAATGTAATTAGCTTCTGGCATGCCACCAGACGTTGCCAGCCAACACACGTTGGATGCATACATTGCCTCTTCCTGCTCACCCCCCCCCCCAATGTCCTGATTGCCTGCTGTTTTCTGTGACTGCTTGCCTGCCTGTCTGCTTGGGGTGCTGACTAGGTGCGTGGGGGCCAGGTGTTCAGTGCCCCTTGGTCAGTCCGTGTTGCCCCTTGGAGGTATGTGTGCTTGCGTGTGTGCGTGTGCACATGTGAGGAATGGCTTGTTTGTGTGGAGGAATGAAAGGGTGAATCTGAAATGCCATGTCCTGGATATAGAATCATAGAGTTGGAAGGGACCTCCAGGGTCATCTAGTCCAACTTCCTGCACAATGCAGGAAATTCACAAATACCTCCCCCTCCACACCCACAGTGACCCCTGGTCCACGCCCAGAAGATGAAAAAAAAAACCCCAACCCTCCAGGATTGCTTCCTGACCCCAAAGTGGCAATCAGCATTTCCCTGGGTGTGTAAGAAAGGGCCAGGTGAACTGAGCACTGAGGCAACCCTTCCTGCCCTCTCTGGCGCGATTTGCCCAAGTTCACAGAATCCACATTGCTGTCAGATGGCCACCTAGCCTCCGCTTGAAAATCTCCAGAGAAGGAGAGCCCACCACCTCCCAAGGAAGCCTGTTCCACTGAGGAACTGGTCTAACTGTCAGGAAGTTCTTCCTCATGTTGAGCCAAAAACTCTTCTGATTTAATTTCAACCCATTGGTTCTGGTCTGACCTTCTGGATGACAGCCCTTTAAGTATCTGAAGATGGACTCAGTGTTCCCTCTAAGCTGAGTTAGTGCGAGCTAGCTCACAGTCTCTTAGCCTCCGGCTCACACATTTCTTGTCTTAGCTCAGGAAGGAGGGCTCTGGAGCAAACTAATTGATGCAGCAGCCGAATGGCTCGCTCACAACTTTAATGCCAGTCACTCACAAAGTAGAACTTTTGCTCACAAGACTCCACAGCTTAGAGGGAACAGTGGTTCTCATATCACCTCTCAGTCGTCTCCTCTCCAGGCTAAACAGACCCAGCTCCTTCAGCATTTCCTCATAGGACTTGGTCTCCAGACCCCTCACCCTCTTCGTTGCCCTCCTCTGGACACCTTCCAGCTTGTCTATATCCTTCTTAAATCCTGGTGCCCAAAACTGAACACAGTACTCCAGGTGAGGTCCAATATGTTGGCAGATGAAGGGTCTCTTGGAGGGTGGCAGCTGTTTGGCCCAAGTGACCCCTTCAGGTGATCCAGTGCCCGCCCGCCCCCTCACCCTGATCCCCTCTGTCCCTTCCTCCACCCTGGTGCTTGTACATCTGATGTGTGTTGCGATCTTCCTGGGATGTGGAACCCTGGACTTCTGCACACTGTGTAACCCCCGGCACGGCAGTGGCAGGAGAGAAAAAGTAAGACGAGGTAATGCTAACTCGTGTGGGTTGAGTGCTGCCAAGTCCGTTCCGACTGACAGCAACCCTGTGAATGAATGGTCTCCAAAATGTCCTGCTGGAGTCCTGCCCACTGATGCTAACTACAGGCCCCATGGCTGGACCTCCTGATGGACACCTGATATTTTTGGCCACTGTGTGACACAGGAGTGTGGGACTGGATGGGCCATTGGCCAGTTTGGCACAGTGGTTTAAGTGTGTGGACTCTAATCTGGGAGAACCAGGTTTGATTCCCCACTCCTCCTCCGCTTGCACCTGGCTGGATAACCTTGGGCAAGCCGTGGTTCTGACAAGAGCTGTCCTTGAAAAAGAGCAGTTTCTGTCAAGAGCTCTCTCAGCCCCACCCACCTCACAGGGTGTCTGTTGTGGGGAGGGAAAGGAGTTTGTCAGCCGCTCTGTGACTCCTTTGGGTAGTGAAGGGCGGGGGTATCAATCCAGTCTCTTCTTCTTCTTATCCAACATTGGCTTCTCTCTTATGTTCTTAGTCTGAATTCTGAAGTATGTCCACACGGCTGGCATCGTGTCTGCTTGGGATGCACGTGGGTGAATGAAGTGCGGTCAGAAAGTCGTGTCAGCATCCAAACATGTATTTTAATACGGTATCTCTAGTAGTAGCAGAGTGCTAAAATGATGACAGTTGGTGGAAATCGTCAGTATTCTAGAGTCCTGGCTGCTTGCTTTTCACTCCTGTATCAGATTTATTTATTTATTTATTTTGGCTTCTCTCCCTCCCCCCCCCCCCGCCGCAGGCGCTGGGCGGCCCACAACATTATTACTGATAAAACAATTTCCCAGTTAAAATTACAATAAAATTAAATCTAAAAACAATACATAAAGTGCTAGCAATGGCATACAACGTGGCTGGAGTCCACAATCAATTCGTGCATGGTCTAGGTCATGTCAGCAAGGCACAGGCTATTCAATGATGTTAATGATACTATTGATGCTATTAAATTATTATTCTTTTTTGTGCCCCCCGAAGGTCATTTTTTTAATTGCATTTTCTATAAACTACAAAGAAAGAAGGAAGGGTAACTACAAACTATAGGTGAAAGTAAAGAAAAACACTAAAAACCCAAGAGGTGGAGCACATATTATGCTTTAAAAATTGCTTTTTAAACAATTAAAATTTGTGACTGTTAAAGGTGATCAATAGATGTATCGCTTAATTTATCAATTCCAGCAGGTCTGACTATACCAAGGGTCATACAAGAACATAAACCAATATCAATAAGGCAAACATCAGGAAACATTAGCATCTCATTATTTTTAATCTTTTTTGTTCCCCAATTAACAGTCCCACACCCGCCCGTCTTGAAGCTGGATCTTCCCCAGTAAATGAAATAACAGTCTCATCTTCTCTTCCTTTATTGTGATCTTCTTCTTCTTCTTTACTTCCTTCCCCTGTTACTCTATATCAGTGGTTCTCAGCTTTCCTAATGCCGTAACCCTTTAATACAGTTCCTCATGTTGTGGTGACCCCCAACCATAAAATTATTTTCGTTGCTACTTCATAACTGTAATTTTGCTACTGTTATGAATCGTGATTTGTGCTTTCCGATGGTCTTAGGCGACCCCTGTGAAAGGGTCATTCGACCCCCAAAGGGGTCGCGACCCACAGGTTGCGAACCGCTGCTCTATACTGTTGCAGCAGAATCAAACCCGCCCATAAGACAGAGTCCAGCCTTCCACATCTTCCTTCGTAAAGGCAATTCCTTGCTTGGTATTTATTCTTTTAGCAGCTTTATTGATGGTATTGGGGACAGGGCCTCAGATGGTTGCGGCGGCTCCTTAATCGAATGCCTGGTGGAAGAGTTCGGTTTTACAGGCCCTGCGGAACTGCAGAAGGTCCTGCAGGACCCTGATGTCTTCCGGGAGCTCATTCCACCGGTATGGAGCCGCCACCGAGAGGGCCCTGGCCAATGTTCCCTCTAAGCTGTGGAGTCTTGTGAACAAAAATTCTACCTTGTGAGCTACTGGCATTAAAGTTGTGAGCGAGCAATTTGGCTACTGTATAAATTAGTTTGCTCTTGAGCCCTCCTTCCTGAGCTAAGACAAAAATGTGTGAGCTGGAGGCTACAAAACTGTGAGCTAGCTCACACTAACTCAGCTTAGAGGGAACACTGGCCCTGGCCCTTGTTGCTGAGAGCCTGGCTTCTCTAGGGACCAGGCGATTTTGAGTACCCGATCAGATTGAGAGAACGGCAGATGGTTTCCCCAAATGAAAGGCGGGGCCAAAGCAGATGAGACTCAGGAATGGAGTTCCCAGATCTCTCTCAGTCAGAGACTAGAGAGAACAGATTTGAAAAGTATCTCTGTGTCTTTAATTTGATGTCGAGAAGTCCCCTCTCTGGTTCCTGTTTGCCCTGCCACCCCGCAGTAGAACAAAGCGATGGGCAACTTCACACCTACATGCAAAGAAAGCAGAGGTGGAGTGGGAAGTGCCTGTTCTCGGACAAAGCCAGAGCAAGCCCTGGGCACAGGGAGCTTGGCTCCGCCCCTACAGGGTTTCCTTCCAGCCAGGCTCTATTATCAGAAGTCAGCCAGGCTGGGAGGAAAATGCTGGAATCAAATGCTTGAAAACCAAGATGGTGAGCTGAGTTAGGGGAGTGGGGCAAAGTCCGTGGCCTCGGTGTAGAAGCAGACCACCCCCACGTGCACACCCCCTCCTGCTTGAGGGTCCTGGGGGGGAAGGAAAAGCTGACCCATGGACCAATCCGTCCTTCCCTGAGCAAGCTCTCTGTAAGTGAAGATACTTCCAACTGCTTGTAAATCAGAGATGTGTTTCCCAGGTGCCTGAAATATGGCAAGGAGGGCTCCTTGGGTGACAGATATAATTCCTGAGAATGGATCCCAGGGTTAGTGGAAACAACGCTGCCAGCAGAACTGTGTTTTTCCTGTTGAAACAAAACCGGATATGTGTACAAGCAGTAATAAAGAGTCTTACAGACATTTCCCCACTGAAATGCACGGAGGGGGGAAAAACCCATTTTTGTGCCACCTCCTGGCTGGCTGGGAAGCGCTCCGGGATGAGGAGACCCGCACCAGCCACGGAGGGTGCCCACGGGGGCCCTGTCTCTCACACCGGGCTCTTCTTCTCTCTGCTGCAGAATGCCCCCTGACGCTGGCTGCACAGCTGGACTACAGCGCCGACGTGATTAAAGCCTTGAGGAATGGGGGGGCCCACCTGGACTTCCGGACCCGGGAGGGGATGACGGCGCTACACAAGGCGGTCCGGTGCCGGAACCACACTGCCCTGATGGTGAGTCTGCTGAAGCTGCCGGCCGTCAGCCCCACAGGCCGCTGCTCCAGGCCTGACTTTTCTTTCCCCACCCGCAGGCTGGCCAGGGGATCACTGGCTGGAAGGCCTCAGACTCACCTCTTCTCCTCCTTCCAACCAGTCTGGTGTCGTGGGGAAGTGCACAGACTCTAATCTGGGAGAACCGGGTTTGATTCCTCACTCCTCCACATGCACCTGCTGGTGTGACCTTGGGTCAGTCACAAGTTCTCTCAGAGCTTGTAATGTATTGAACTGATTACATGAATCACCTCATAGGACTCCCATGTTAAGCTTCGAGCCAGACCAGGGCTCCTTTGAGCGAACTTCCTATTGGTCGCTTCGTAACAGCGACCAATCAGAACGATACCATTCCCTAGGAGGGAAAGACTCCCATTGGTCTTTATTCTAGCAATCTCATTGGTTGATATTTGTAAATAGGCGTGGCTACATTAGCCCGGTTGTGTTTAAAAGGAGCATAAGCTCCCACTGTTTTCTGTTCTGGTTTCTTACTGAGTTGAGTGCTTGTTCGTTACTTCCAATAAAGCTGAATCACTTGCTGAATCACTCTAAGAGTCCTTTGTTAGTGCGATCTAACAATTGGCGACGAGGATGGGATGTTAGAGCAGGTAGGCAGCCCTGCGGACATCCACACTTCGGACTCGGAAGAAAGCGGGCAAAGCACAGCAGCCGATCCGGCGGAGGCGCCACCAGCTCCGGTGCCCAAGTCTCCCACGATGGCTGGAAGCCAGAAGTTCGAGTGCTTCGAACCCTCCTCAGAAGACTGGGACTCCTACCTATCCAGGTTCGAGTTCCATCTGGAGACCCACGACATCACCGATGAGGCGAAGAAACGAGCATGCCTCCTGAGTTCCTGCGGGAAGGGGACCTTCGACATAGCCAGGTCGTTGGTGGCCCCAACTGATATAAAGACTGTCACCTACGCTGACATCACGGAGAAGCTTAAGGCTCACTATTCTCCACAACCGTCGGAGATCGCCTGCCGGCACGCTTTTTACAAGCGGAACCAGGCCGGAGGCGAGACCATCGCAGATTTCGTGGCGGCCCTTCGCAAAGCCGCACGGCCATGTAATTTCCACAACGTGGAGGAAGCCCTCAGAGACCGTCTCGTCTGCGGTCTCAAAGATGAAAGGCTGCAACAGAGGCTGTTCGCCCGCACCACCCTGACCTGGGCAGTGGCCTACGAAGAGGCCGTGGCCGCGGAAGCAGCGGAGAAGTCCACGAAGGAGGTCCGCCAGCGGGTGGCAGAGCCCAGTATACACGCTCAACGAGACAGCGAGGGCGAAGACGCGGATGATGACGTCAACGCGGTTCGAGGCAAGCGGACCCCAGCGAAGACTACCAACGTCAAGCCTTGCTCCGGTTGTGGCGGGAAGCACCAGCGCGACTCCTGTTGGGCTCGTGATGTCGACTGCAGAGCGTGTGGGCGGCGTGGTCATCTGGCCAGAGTCTGCAGATCAGCAAAGAAGGATCCCTCAACTAACAACCGGTCAGCGCAGAGGGGCACTCCAGTCAGCACCCAAGGCAAGACCCGTTCCTCAGCATCGGAAGCAAGCTGCCAGTTGACGGCGACCTTGTCGAGCGCATCGGCCGTAAATCGCACCAGCAGCCAGGGCAAGATCACCGTGACTCCACTCCTCGACGGCCGACCCTGTACAATGGAGGTGGACTCAGGATCGTCCGTGACGGTGATTTCTGCCGCGTCCTGGCGCCAGTTGTTCCCGAACCGAAGCCGGCGGCGGCTCCAGCCTGCGGGAACCAGAGTGTCCGACTTCCAGGGCAACCGAATTCCCTTGGCCGGACGGGACTCTGTTACTGTTGAGTATAAGGGGAAATGTGTTAAACTGTCATTCCTGATTGCAGAGGGAGACCGGGTTAACCTGCTAGGGTTAGATTGGTTTGAGCCATTGGGCATTGGTATTTCTGGGATTAACAGGATGTCTGAAAATAAATGGGGCATGCTGTACGACCTGTTCCCTGATGTATTTGCCGAAGGGTTGGGGAGGTACAAGGGCCCCCCGGTTGCGTTTGACTTAGATCCGTCAGTCAAACCTATTAGGTTGAAGTATCGGAAAGTACCTGTGTCTCTCAAACATAAGGTGGAAAAAGAGATTGACAAACTAGTTGAGCAAGGGGTTTTAGAGCCAGTACCATACAGCAAATGGGAGACCCCGATCGTAACCCCTGTCAAATCAGATGGGTCCATACGACTATGCGCCGATTACAAATGTACGATTAACAAGGCGCTGCAGCAACATTCGTACCCGGTCCCGGTAATAAGCCACATTTTGGCTTCCCTGGGGGGTGGCAAGATTTTCGCCAAATTTGACCTGGCCCAGGCATACCAGCAGTTGCCTGTCACCCCGGAGGCTGCCGAGGCCCAAACAATTGTAACCCACCAAGGGGCTTTTAAAGTGAACAGGCTGCAATTCGGGGTCAACGTAGCACCTGGGATTTTTCAGGGCCTCATGGAACGTCTACTAAGGGGGGTACCTGGCACAGTGCCCTATTTTGACGACGTGCTGATTGCGGGCGGGTCTGAACAGGAACTACTGGACCGGGTTAAAGAGGTCCTCAGGCGTTTTCAAAATGCCGGTCTCAGAGTTAAGCGCTCAAAATGCACGCTCGGGGTGGAAAGTGTGGACTTCCTGGGGTTTCGCATTGACGCAGAGGGAGTCCACCCCACGGATGAGAAGGTATCTGCAATCCAAAACGCCCCCAGGCCGGTGAGTAAGAAGGAGCTCCAATCCTTTTTAGGACTCCTGAATTTTTATCATGCGTTTTTACCGCATAAGGCATCAGTGGCGGCCCCTTTGCACGCGCTTTTGCACAAGGAGGCAAAATGGAAGTGGGGGCAGGCCGAGGAAAAGGCTTTTGTGGGAGTCAAGGAGCTGCTGACATCTAATGCCGTACTCACGCATTATGATGAACACAAGCTCCTGGTGTTAGCTGCTGACGCTTCACCTTTTGGAGTAGGCGCAGTTTTAAGCCATCTGATGCCTGATGGGAGCGAAGCGCCTATCGCTTTTTATTCTAGATCACTATCTGCGGCAGAGCGGAACTATGCCCAGATAGACAAGGAGGGTCTGGCGTTGGTAGCGGCTGTCAAAAAGTTCCATGATTTTATTTTTGGCAGACGATTTTTGCTGGTCACTGACCACAAGCCGCTACTGGGGATTTTTGCGCCCGATAAGCAATTGCCAAACATCATGTCCCCACGCATGCTTAGATGGGCGATATTTTTGCAGGCTTATGATTTTGACTTAGAGCACCGGCCTGGGAAAGCGATTGGGCATGCGGATGCCCTCAGCCGGTGCCCGGTGCCGGACATTGGCGCAGACCCTGCCCCCGCCTGTGAGGTCTTGGCAATTGAGGAGCTTCCTCGACCCCCGGTATCATCCAGGGACATTGCAGCACACACGGCCAAGGATAGCGTGCTGTCCCGAGTATTAAACTGGGTTTGGAGGGGGTGGCCGGTTGGAAGCGTTGAACCGGAGTTCGGCCCTTACAAAAGCCGTCAAAATGAACTATCCATTTCTAAGGGCTGTGTATTATGGGGGAACAGGGTGGTGGTTCCTGACAAACTCAGGACGAGAGTGTTAGAGTCGCTGCACGAGGGTCACCCCGGTATGGTACACACCAAAGCGTTGGCCAGAGGGTATGTCTGGTGGCCGGGGCTGGACAAAGAGATCGAAGAATGGGTACGAGGGTGTCCCAAATGCCAGCAAGTCAGACCCGATCCCCCACAAGCTACACCCCAAGGCTGGGAGTCATCTGGTAAACCCTGGGCCAGATTGCATATAGATTTTGCTGGCCCTCTCCAAGGGCAAATGTTCCTAATTGTGGTGGACGCTATGTCCAAATGGCTGGAGGTCGTGCATATGAAATCGACCACATCACTTGCTGTGATCCATGCGCTCCGCCGACTTTTTGCCACCCACGGGTTGCCTGACGTCATCGTCAGTGACAACGGGCCTCAATTTGTGTCTGAGGAATTTAGGCTCTTCCTCACGAGTAATGGCATACGCCAAATGACTTCGGCCCCTTTCCATCCGGCATCTAATGGCCAAGCCGAACGGATGGTCAGGACGGCCAAAGAGGCCCTGGGTAAAATGGACGAAGGGGACTGGAGCCAGAGGCTGGGCTCCTTTCTTTTGCTGCAGCACACCACCCCCTGTAGTGCTACAGGCCGTAGTCCGGCCGAATTGTTAATGGGGCGGAGACTCACGACCCGTTTGAACCGAATGCACCCAGACCTCACTGAAGAGCAATCCGAGCGTACCACGGCGCAACCGAAGGTGCGCATGTTTGAAAAAGGGGACAAGGTTTTCGCACGAAATTATGCAAACGGGCACTTATGGCTTCCTGGGGTTATATCCGACTCTGTGGGTACTCGAATGTATGTGGTGCAGTTAGCTGACGGTCGAATATGGCGGCGCCACATAGATCAGTTAAGGAGACGTTGGGCTAGGGACAGCGCTGACTCTCCGACGGCTGAATCCCCTGATGTCGAGTGGACACCCCCAGAGCAGGCGGTGAGTACCGAAAGGCCCGGTACTGTCCCCGAGTCAGGGCAGAACCCTGTGTGCGGGGCTGAAATCCCAGTCGAGTCTGTGCCTGATCCAGGCTGTAGTGAACCCCACTCTGACCCACAACCTTGTCTGCCCATGGAGCCTGCACCGCTCCGCAGGTCCCAGCGTTCGCGGCAAATGCCGACTTATCTGAAGGACTATGAGTGTAAATACTGTTGGAATAACTGATGTACAAAGGTTGATTGCATGTTTGTAAATAATAAAACAATTGGGATGATGGCTTAACTTAGGGGGGAGGAATTGTAATGTATTGAAATGATTACATGAATCACCTCATAGGACTCCCATGTTAAGCTTCGAGCCAGACCAGGGCTCCTCTGAGCGAACTTCCTATTGGTCGCTTCGTAACAGCGACCAATCAGAACGATACCATTCCCTAGGAGGGAAAGACTCCCATTGGTCTTTATTCTAGCAATCTCATTGGTTGTTATTTGTAAATAGGCGTGGCTACATTAGCCCGGTTATGTTTAAAAGGAGCATAAGCTCCCACTGTTTTCTGTTCTGGTTTCTTACTGAGTTGAGTGCTTGTTCGTTACTTCCAATAAAGCTGAATCACTTGCTGAATCACTCTAAGAGTCCTTTGTTAGTGCGATCTAACAGAGCTGTTCTCTCAAGAGCAGTTTCTGTCAGAGCTCTCTCAGCCCCACCCGCCTCACAGGGTGTCTGTCTGTTGTGGGGAGGGGAAGGGAAAGGAGTTTGTAAGCCGCTCTTGAGACTCCTTTGGGTAGTGAAGGGCGTTGTATAAATCCAATCACTTCTTCCTCTAATCTGGGAGAGCCGGGTTTGATCCCCCACTCCACCGCTTGCACCTGGCTGGATGACTTTGGGCAAGCCGTAGCTCTGTCCTTGAAAAAGAGCCGTTTCTCTCAGAGCTCTCTCAGCCCCACCTGCCTCACAGGGTGTCTGTCTGTTGTGGGGAGGGGGAAGGGAAACGAGTTTGTCAGCCACTCTGAGACTCCTCTGGGTAGTGAAGGGCGGGGTATAAATCCAATCTCCTCCTCCTCCTCTTCTTCTTCTACCTCTTCTTCTTCCTGGCTGCCCTCTTCCTTCTCAGCAGAGGGTGCCTCTGGCCCTGAAGCCAGGCCGTGTCTGGGCTTTGGTGTGTCCAGCTCCTGGTGGACTCGCCCTCGACACCCCCTTCCCCCACTGGGTAGGACGTCGGGGCCTGGCGCGCCACAGGGGCAGCCTCCGTGTGCCACCCACTCTGGCTCTTTCGTTGCCCCTAGCGGGCCGCCTGGTGTGTGGTGAGAGCAGGGCTGCCAACTCCAGGTTGGGAAATCCCTGGAGATTTGGGGGTGGCTCCTTGGGAGGGTTAATGGGAGGAGCCCTGCAGGGCGTTACCCCACAGAGTCCTCCTTCCGAAGCTGCTGTGTCCTGCAGGGGAACTGGTCTCTGGAGATCAGTTGTAATTGGGGGGGGGGAATCCAGGCCCCCCTTTGGAGGCAGGCGGCCCTTTGGAGGGGGGGTGCGGTTTTCCCGGGACAGCCCTTCTCTGCTGCTGCTGCAAACCCTCTGGCAGAGCTCCCAGGGGGCCTCCCTTAGCTCCTGCGGGTCCCTTACCTCCTGGGTGCTGAAGGGGCCTGCTGTGGTGGGTGCTGCTGTCCTAGTGGTGCCCAGGGCAGGCCGGCCAGGGTGGCGCACAGGTGGCAGTGCAGAGGCCAGGGAGGTGCCCTTCTGGCCGTTGCTGGGCCCCTCTCAGAGCTCCCTGCTCAGGCCTCCCCTCCTGGGCTTCAGCTGACACGGAGCACCTTTGGGCCCAGGGCAGGGTTGCCAACCTCCCGGTGGGACAGCAACAGACACACGGGAAATGCGGCAGAGTCAGACAAACGAAAGGAAACACCGTGTTAGAGCAAAGCACACTCTACTGATACGCACTCGTACCTTCATATACTGATTTGAATACAATAGAGACCCTAGTGTGTCTTGTACCTATTCATATAATACAAAAACCTAAAGAACATTATATATCAACAGGATCACTTTACCATATGTGGTGGTTATGCAGCAGAGCTAAGAAATATTGGGCAGGGATACATGAAACTATCCAAAAGGGTCTGAAATGCAATGTACCTTTTCCTCCTGAAATATTTCTGTTGAACATTTTACCCGATAATTTTAAAAGCGGTGACTCTTATTTGCTAGTATATATAACCAGGGCTATTTTTGGGCAGGAACGCACAGGAACGGAGTTCCGGCTGGCTCCCAAGTTGGCCACACCCAGCAGGAACTCATTAGCATAATAGGCCACACCCAACAGCAGAAACTCATTAGGATTGGCTACATTAGGGGTGTGTGGCCTAACATGCAAAGGAGTTCCTGCTACAAAGAAAGGCCCTGGGTTTTGACAACAAACAAGATAAACACAATAAAAAGCAAAAGGTAGGTGTGGCTGGATGAGCACACTTCTGGTAACATGTGGGTGCGGCCTAATGAGCTGTGCTGTCAGGGGTGTGGCCCAATATGCTAATGAGTTCCTGCTGTTGGGTGTGGCCTATTATGCTAATGAGTTCCTGCTGGGCTTTTTCTACAAAAAGAGCCCTGCTATAACCACCTCAGCTAGAATATTGTATGCCAAATAGTGGAGGAGCCAAGAAACACCAAGTAAAGAAGAATTCACTAACACAATATTTGAAGCAGCAGAGATGGACAAATTAACCTTCTCTGAAAGATCATACTGAAGAGTCATTTGAAAACACATGGCAGAGATTTTATAAATGGTATGAGAACTGTATCCATACTAAGACAGGACAAGGCATGTAAACAAGGAAGAAGAGAAGAAATAGACTTCAAGAACTTAACTTTTGACAATATTGGTTGCATTATATCTTGGTTTACTATGAGGTGTAAGCTTTAAGTAATAGATAGTTGGCGTTAAAATATATGTTCCCAGAATGTACCCCCAATTTTATGTTTTTGCTTGTTATATGTTTGTGTCATGTCTGTGTTGTAGAAAAAATAAAAAATCTTATACAAAAAAAAGAACATTATAGATCTACTAATAGAAAAAGTCCACCGCTACAGAGACCTATTCCAGTGCTGTAGACTGTCTTGCTCCTGATAAGAGACTGATGAAGGTTGCAACAGTCGTAAACGATGAGGGATGCAGCAGGCTATGTTTTGTTCTCCACAAAAAGCGATCCAGCAAGCACGGCGTTTTTCTTTATGTTTGTCTGACCTCCCGGTGGGGCCTGGAGAACTCCTTGGGGGGGGGGCAGAGTCTAGCCTGTGATTTTGCAGGAAGAGCTTTGCTACGCCCCCCGCCCCCCACCCCACCCCAGTCTGGCTATGGGAGAAGCGTCTGCACAGAGTCTCTGCCTGCAGCCACCCACCACTTTGCCTTTTCGCTGGAGCAAAGGAGTTCCCCCCCCCTTTGCTCCAGTTACAGAAGGAAGCCCCCGGAGCACCCAAAGATGACAACATGATGTGAATTTGTTGTTGTTGTTGTCCAGTCGCACAGTCGAGTCCGACTCTTTGCGACCCCATGGACCACATCACGCCAGGAAAAAAGGGTGTGCAGGGTGTGTGTTCCTCCCAGGGCAAAATCCCGGTTTAGAAGCAGCCTTTTGAGGATCCAGCAAATTCCTGGAATCCATCAGGGACCCGCCAGCCCCCCTGCAAGGCAGCAGCTCTCACCAGGCCGCTCTTGGGCACTGGCCCTTGACACACGGGGTGGCCAAAGGATACGCCGTCCTCCAGACGCTGCCCCCGGGTGCCAGCACACGCTCTGGCGAAGCCCGGCGCCCCTCCTCGTGGCTCGGCCTGCCACCCGCCTCCCCGTCCCCGCCGCTCTGTGCCAAAACACTGACCGAAGTCCCCGCCTGCCTGTGACTGTGTTTGCACAGACGCTGCTAGACCTGGGGGCCTCTGCCGATTACAAGGACAGCCGCGGATTAACGCCTCTGTACCACAGTGCCATGGTGGGAGGAGACCCCTACTGCTGCGAGCTGCTCCTGCACGACTACGCCAAGGTGGGCTGCGTGGATGAGAACGGCTGGCAGGAGGTCCACCAGGTGAGCGGCTCTCTGCCAGGGGCCCCGGGGCCTGTCCTGGGCATGAGGGTGGCCGTTCGGGCACGCCCCGCCAGGTGCTCAGCGGGGGACCCTGAGCTGGGGGGGGGACAACTGCTAAGCCCAGGGCTCGCCCCGCAGCCCTCCCTCTTTCTCCAGCTGGATGGCCTTGGGTCAGTCACAAGTTCTCTCAGAGCTGTTCTCTCAAGAGCAGCTTTCTCTCTCAGCCCCACCCACCTCACAGGGCATCTGTTGTGGGGAGGGGAGGGGAAAGGAGAATGTAAGCCGCTCTGAGACTCCGAGTGAAGGGCAAGGGGAATAAATCCAATCTCTTTTTCTTCTTCTCCTCCCCCCCCCCCATCTCTGGAGCAGGCTTGTCGCTATGGGCACGTGCAGCACTTGGAGCACCTCCTCTTCTACGGGGCTGACATGACTTCCCAGAATGCCTCGGGGAACACGGCCCTCCACGTCTGCGCCCTCTACAACCAGGTGAGGCCACCCCTCCCACGGCGGAGGGCAGGAGCGCCCGGGGGGGGGAGGTGCCACCAGTGACAGGAAAGGCAAGCAGGGCCCCTCAGAGGTGGAGGCAAGATGTTGAGGTGATACTCCGCCCCGGAGCATGCGCAGAGTGCGCTGCTGACAGCCGAGGGCTTCCAGGGCACGTCCTGGCAGCAGAAATGAATCACGGAGGTGTCGGTCAGTTTTGGAAGCCAGTGAGACCAATCTGAGCCAGTGTTCCCTCTAAGCTGAGTTAGCATGAGCTAGCTCACAGTTTTTAGACCGAGGGGGAGAGCAGTTGGTCCACGGTGGCCCACACTGAGTCTTGTGTCTGAGCAAGGATTCGAACTGGGTCTCCCAGACCCTCCACCGCCCCCTGCTGGCTCTCGGAGCTCTCCCTTACAGTCTCTCAGCCCCTTTGCAAAACCAGGTGGGAAAGCCTAGCATGCATGCCCCCCCCCGTGGTGTACGGCGGACCGCAAGGGCGACTCCCCCCCCCCCAGGATGCCAGGCTGTCTGAGGCTCCCTGGTTTGTTCTCCCTTCCTCTCTAGCTGACGCTCCCTTTCTCTTCCCTCGGGCAGGAGAGCTGCGCTCGGGTGCTTCTGTTCCGTGGGGCCAGCAAGGACATCCGGAACTACAACAGCCAGACGGCATTCCAGGTAGGAGGGCCGGGCGGGGTCTGTTTCCTGACGAACGGGAGCCCCCTAGCCGCTCCTCATCTCTCGTGCCTCCAAGTCCCGTCACCTTCTTTTCCTTCAGTGCCTCCCTGGGTGGTCATAAGAACACAAGAGAGGCCGATGTTGGATCAGGCCAATGGCCCATCCAGTCCAACACTCTGTGTCACACAGTGGCCAGAAATACCAGTGCCATCAGGAGGTCCAGCAGTGGGGCCAGGACATTAGAAGCCATCCCACTGTTGACCCCCACAGACACCAAGAACACAGAGCATCCCTTGCTCCAGAGCCCCTATCTATACCTTGTGGCTAATAGCCACTGATGGACTTCTGCTCTTAAAGCTGTCCACGCAAGAAGAAGAAGAAGAAGAAGAAGAAGAAGAAGAAGAAGAAGAAGAAGAAGAAGAGGAGGAGGAGGAGGAGGAGGAGGAGGAGATTGGATTTATACCCCCGCCCTTCACTTGGAGTCTCAGAGCGGCCAACAAACTCCTTTCCCTTCCCCTCCCCACAACAGACACCCTGTGAAGTGGGTGGGGCTGAGAGAGCTCTTGACAGAAACTGCTCTTTTTCAAGGACAGCTGTGCCAGAGCTTGTGGCTGACCCAAGGTCACATCATCAGGTTCAAGTGGAGGAGTGGGGACTCAAACCCGGTTCTCCCAGATTAGAGTCCGCACACTTAACCACTACACCAGACTGTAGCCGCCACCCCCTCCTGTGGCAGTGAATTCCATGTGTGAATCACTCTTTGGGTGATGCAGGAGGGAAGCGGTGGGGTCAGCCGCAACAAAGTGGAGAATCTGAAGGAGAGAAGCAGCGTGTGCCCATGTGCTTGCCCGCCTGCAGCTCCTGTCCCGCTCTGTCCCTCCTCTGCGCAAAGCCTTTGAAATGACACATGTCCTTAGAAAACAAGTCTGCCCTTGCACCTACGATGGAGTTACCCTTCAGCATCTCTTGGGACGGGGGCCTTTCTTTTTTGCATAACTAGTTTATTATGCTATAAATTGCACATGCCAGTCTCCCGAGCGTGGCTGACGTCCCTTCCCTTCTGCTGCAGGGGCGACTGCGACACTCGCCATGTGGAATTTTGTGCCCAAGCATGCCTTGCCTAGTTGGCCCTGGGCCCTCTTGAAGGGGCGGGATCTTCTCCGGCATTACAGCCAAGCCAAATTTTGTTGAAAGAGAAGCGTGGGCGGGGGGGGGGCAGGTAGATCTCCCAGAGTGACCCCTGGTCTCCAGAGTACAGAGATCCGCTCCCCTTCTGGAAATATCTCCTTTGGAGGGTGGACTGTAGGACGTTATACCCCTCTGAGGTCTGTTCGTAGAATCCTAGAATCACAGAATGTTATAGTTGGAAGGTACCTTGCAGGTCATCTAGTCCAGCCCCCTACACTTTGCAGAAGCATAGCCGAAAGATAGCCCTACAACATACCTGAAAGAGGGTCGTCCAGCCTCCGCTTGAAAACGTCCAGCAAAGGAGCACCCAGCACTAGAATCACAGAGCTGGAAGGGGCCATAGAGGGCATCTAGTCCAAGCCCCTGCTCGATGCAGAATCAGCCTAGAGCAGGGGTGTCAAACATGCAGCCCAGGAGGCCGGATCAGGCCCCCGGAGGGCTCCCATCAGGCCTGCATTGGAACTGGCCATCTCCTGCTTCCAGCTCTTCTGCTGCTGCTGCTGCATCACAGCTTGCTTTGCCAGACTCTCTCAATTGCTCAGCCATTTCATGTTTTAATTTAACCTGGGTCCCAGACTCAGAACTCTGAGCATGAGATTTCTGTGGTAAGAACAAGAGTCTGTTCAGTTCCTCTCTACAATTGTCAACAAACCATGGAGAGATGTCAACGTGAACCGCGTGGTATCCTCAATGATTTACACACTCTTCAGGTCTACAGCAACAAAGGTAGAAGTGATTGCAGAAAGTGGCCGCCAGCTCCTCATGTGTGTAAAGACAGACCTACGTTAAGCGCCCCGTGTCCTTGGGTTCCACCATACATAGCCACATGGAGTAACCTATATGAACCAAGCCAGGATTCAGAACAGCCAGACCCAATTGGAATACATTAAGATTCAGACACTGGCTACATAGGCCAAATACTGCCACAGTGCTTATCTTCCAAAGGTGAAAGTTAAGGAACTCTGGAGTGAATGTCGATAAATCAAAAGGAGGTTTGCAGCTTACAGAGCTAATGTTTTAAGCATGGTTTTATTTTAAGTAAAAAAACCCCACCCTTTGTGTTTGTGTCCTTTATAAAGTTTATATCTCCGCTACCTGGCATTACCTTCTATGACACACACGGAGGCCTCATTTATGTCAGATCCGGCCCTCATAACAAATGAGCTCGACACCCCTGGCCTAGAGCATCCCCGACAAGTGTTTGTCCAGCAGCTGCTTAGAGACTTCTGAAACCCCGCCCTCCCCAGTCCCCACCCCCAAATCTCCAGAAATATCCCAAGCCAGAGTTGGCAATCTGGTCCCGGTCCAAGTCCCACAAGACTTCCGTCTACTGTTTAAACCCCGTCCGAAGACCCGAGCCCGGATCTCCCGTCGCCAGGCCTGCAGCCTCTCAAGGACGCGGGACGAGGCCTGCGTGACCCCAGCGCGATGCCAGGCTCTGCCCGGGTGGAGGGGCAAGGGCACGGGGAGAAGCCCCCTCCCAGGGCCTCTGTCAAGGGCAGGGTGCTCAGCTCCCCTTCCTCCTCCCTCCTCCTCTGCTCCGCCCGCCAGGCCTCATTTCCCCGGGGGCTGTGGGTCAGGGCCTGAAGCAAGAGATAGGTGAGCTCTGGAAAAGTCGGGACAGCCAGGCATGGTCTGAACACATCCGCGGACTCCTCCTTCACCAGCTGCCAGTGGGCCACCTCCCGAATGCCCTGGCTTCTAGGCAAAAGGACATAAGAACCTAAGAGGAGCCCATGTTGGATCAGGCCAATGGCCCCTCCAGTCCAACAATCTGGGTCACACAGGGGCCAAAAATACCAGGGGCCCTCAGGAGGTCCACCAGTGGGGCCAGAGGACACTAGAAGCCCTCCCACGGTTGACCCCCCCCTCAAGCACCAAGAAGACAGAGCATCCCTTGCCCCAGACATAAGAACATAAGAGAAGCCAATGCTGGATCAGGCCAATGGCCCCTCCAGTCCAACACTCTGTCACACGGTGGCCAAAAACACCAGGGGCCATCAGGAGGTCCACCAGTGGGGCCAGAACACTAGAAGCCCTCCCACTGCTGCCCGCCACAAGCAGCAAGAACACAGAGCATCCCTTGCCCCAGACATAAGAACATAAGAGAAGCCAATGTTGGGTAAGGCCAGTGGTCCATCTAGTTCAACACTCTGTGTCACACAGTGGCCAAAAATACCAGGTGCCCTCAGAAGGTCCAGCAGGGGGGCCAGGACACCAGAAGCCCCTCCCACTGGTGCCCCCCCCCAAGCAGCAAGCATACAGAGCATCCCTTGCCCCAGACTGAGAGTTCCTATCCCTTGTGGCTCATAGTGGCCATGGATGGACCTCTGCTCCATTGCCTCTCTAGGAAGGAGCCGATCGGAGCCCAGGAGGACACTCCAGTGAGCCCAGGCGGATTGGCCACAGAGCCTTGGGGGGGGGGGGCTCAGGAAGCCCTGTCTCCTATACACCCCTCCACCCCCACCGTCCCCAAGCCCACAAGGTGGCAGAGGGCTCCCATGGCAGCTTCGGGGGGGGGGGACAACTGCATTGGGAGCCGCTGCAGCCCTGTTGTCGCTGGACAGGCGGGGGCATCAGAGGTGGTGGGCAGCGCCCCCCCTTCTCTCCAGGAAGCCGCTTTCTCCAGCTGGGTTTCACAGAGCCCAGGAAAGGTGCAGCTGGACCGGCTGCCGGTGCAGCACTTTGGACACGGCAGGCAGGCAGGCAGGCATCGTGCTCCGGGTGATAAATCCGAGGCTATTTTTATCAGAAGCCTTTGTCAGCAAGACTCCCTTGGGAAGGGCGGCTGCAGGCAGGCATCGCTTTGCCAAGGAGGGGGGGGCTCCTGACTTGAGGGGGAAACTGTGCACAGGCCAGCCCCCCCCCAAAATGAACAGGCCGGGGGGGCACTGCTGGGAACCAGGGTTGCCAGCTCTGGGTTGGGAAGTTCCTGTAGATTTGGGGTGTAGCGCCTGGGGAGGGGCTTTATCTGAGTACAGTGGCATAGAGTCCACCCTCCAAAGCAGCCATTTTCTCCAGGGGGAGTGATCTCTGTTGGCTAGAGATCAGTTGCCAATTTCAGGAGATCTCCAGGCCCCGCCTGGAGGTTGGTGACCCTCCTGGGATCACAGACTTCAGCCCTCAGGGTGACGCTCCCACCCAGGCCCAGGGAGAGGGAGGCAAAGCAAGACAGAAGTCCAGTGGCACCTTAAATGTAAAGGTCATAAGAACATAAGAACATAAGAGACGCTAGTGTTGGATCAGGCCAAAGGCCCATCCAGTCCAACACTCTGTATCACACAGTGGCCAGAAATACCAGTGCTATCAGGAGGTCCAGCAGTGGGGCCAGGACACTAGAAGCCCTCCCACTGTTGACCCCCCCCCCCAAGCACCAAGATGACAGAGCATCACTTGCCCCAGAGTCCCTATCTATACCTTGTGGCTAATAGCCACTGATGGACCTCTGCTCCATATGCTTATCTAATTCCCTTTTGAAGCCGTCCATGCTTGTAGCTGCCACCACTTCCTGTGGCAGTGAATTCCAAGTGTTAATCACTCTTTGGGTGAAGAAGTACTTCCTTCTATCCGTTCTAACCCGACCGCTCAGCAATTTCATGGAGTGCCCACGAGTTCTTGTATTGTGAGAAAGGGAGAAAAGTACCTCTTTCTCTACCTGCTCTTTCCCATGCATAATCTTATAAACCTCAATCATGTCACCCCTCAGTCGTCGTTTCTCCAAGCTAAAGAGCCCTAAGCGCCTTAACCGTTCCTCATAGGGAAAGTGTTCCAACCCTTTTATCATTCGAGTTGCCCTTTTCTGCACTTTTCCCAAAGCTATAATATCCTTTTTAAGGTGTGGTGACCAGAATTGCACACAGTATTCCAAATGAGGTCTCTATTGTGGGAAAGAGAGAAAAGGACTTCTTTGCTCGAAGAGACACCATTGTGCAGAGACTGAGCATCCCTTCTCCGGGCCTCATCCTCCAGCGGCCAGGCTGTGGCCTCTCAGAGTCGCTGTTCGGTTAACTGGGCCAGATGCAGAAGAGCTCCAGCAAGTAGCCCAGCCGGGCTTGGCAGGAACCACCGAGGTGCCAAACTCCTCTCCCAGAGCTCCAGCCAATTGGACCTGGGGAACAATCCCATCCCGGCCCTCCGTGCCAGAGCCGGTCTGTGGGATGGTCCATTCCCAGCGCCTTGGGTCTTGCGTGCCTGTCGCTCCGGAGACTCACTCGGACTTTTGAAACTCCCCCTTCTGAGCCGAGCTCCTGCTCCGGGTGCCCATCCCCCACCCCCGGCCAGCTAATGTGCGATGCGCCATTTTCTGAGCCTCCATTTAGACAGCCGCATTTCACGCTCTTCTGCATCCATTTCATACTCGAGATCAGACCGCCACATCTTAGATTGGTGACGGCCGCACACCATCGTAAGCGATTATGAGTCTCCTCTCCTGTCGCACGAGGAGCCTCCGGAGGGAAGAAAGATTTAGATCTGGGGGCACCTGCAAAAGCGTAGGTCGCCCTGCCAGGAGAGGATCATGCGGCGCATATGAATCATGCATCGGGTTTGTGGCTGCTGCTTCTCAGGAGCTCAGGGCTGCATCCCTGGGCGTTAGCGTGTTTTATTCTTAGTACACAACCGGGTGAGGAACACGTGATGAATCAGACCCTTGGAGCCACCAAGGTCAGACTTGTCTACTCGGACTGGCAGCTGCTCTCCAGGGTCTCAGGCAGAGGATTTTCCATATCACCTGCTGGCAATTGAACCAGGGACCTCCTGCGGGCCAAGCAGATGCTCTACCACTGAGCCACAGTTCCTCCCAAGGCCCAAGGTTACCCAGTGAACATCTTGCCTGGGGACTCGAGCAGGCGATGCATATTGGAGGCTCCTGAAGACTCAGTTTGCCTTGGGCCCGTGCAGGGAAGTAGGAGAGGGTTTAACCCTTTAGCTTCCAGTGGGCTGGTCCTACCACTCCGCTGTTAGCGTTTTAAAAGAGATTGCCAGTAACAGAGTAGGGATCCCATCTCAAAGTGGAAGGCAATCCCCCTATGACCCCAAGGCAAACTGAGGCTGCAGCTTCCTACCATTTGCCTTTCGTGGAGGGGGCCAAGGGGGGGGGTCCCTTGTCTCATGTGCTGGCAGCCCGATTTTTCCTAATGTAGCATTCTACACAATCTGTTACCCCATCAGTTAGTGACCTATATCTAGAGAGAACAGTTTTCTGGCTGCTGCGAGCAGTTTTGGGATGGTGTGCTACAAATAAAAACGTGTGTGCTTATTTCTGTAACGGTTTCTGCAGTTACACACTACACCAGACCGTCTGCCTGGCTGGTTGCAGTCATGGAGCTTGTTTTTCGCACAGAGCCCAGTAATGTCATTTGCGTTGTGTGTGTATCTTAAGGCCACATCCCGCATCAATGTGTGTTGCGCTTCTAGGTTTTACCACTGACGGAAGAGCCTTGGGGATTCAGTCTGAGCCGGATGACGGGCTGCAGTCACACACACACACACACACCAAATAATCCACTTTCACTCCTCTTTCAGGGCACTTTCCAACTGGACTTTACTGTTCGTGGTTTCATGTATGATTTTAACTGTATTTATATATGCATTTTATGTAAGCCACCCTGAGCCTGCCTCGGTTGGGGAAGGCGGGGTATAAATTGAACTAATAAATAAATAACTGGCAAAATCCAGTTGGAAAGTGGATTGAAAATGGATTCATAGAATCATAGAACGTAGAGTTGGAAGGGACCTTGCAGGTCATCTAGTCCAACCCCCTGCCCAATGCAGGAGCACAGCCGAATGTGGACTATGTAGTGCGTGTGACCGCAGCCGCCGTGTCCCTTGGTACCACCTGTGGCCACATGGGACAGCCTCCCGCAATGCCTTTCTTCCCCCCCTTCTCGTCTTCTTCTAGCGGGCCTTTTTAGGAGACGCGGAGCTCTGTGCCCATCTCCAGAAAAGACCTCTTTGCGAGCTTGCTGGTGCTGCACTTCCCGTTTATTCTGCAGTCTCTCACAGAGGGATGGAAGGTCCTTCAGGGGGTCATTCCTGCCCATGCACAAGCGTGACGTGGTTTAATAATGCCAAACCCTCCTAGACCCACCCACCCCTCAGGATCGGCACAGCTCAGTAACCACAAGCAGGAGGGAAAGTAGGTGAAACATTTGGGCAGGGTCTGACACACCTGGGGGACCGCTTTTCCCCATATATACCCCGGGGAGCACTTCGGTCAGGGTCACAAAATTGTTTGGCCCTCCCAGGCCCCAAGGACGCCAGGCTGGCTGCAACCAGGGCCAGGGCTTTCTCGGTGGCGGCTCCACACTGGTGGAATGAGCTCCCAGAAGAGACCAGGACCCAGCGGGACCTTCTATAGTTCCGCAGGGCCTGCAAGATGGAGCTCTTCCACCAGGCCTTCAACTAGGAGCCGCCCACCATTACCACCAACACTAATTGTCGAGCAAGTGCCTGGTCTATCGCTGTCAGCCTGTGTCCGCCGTTAGATACGAGAAGATTGACAAGCTGAGTACTCAGACAGTCCATACAATGTATAGCACCAGGGGTCATTTCCTGCAGGAGCGCACAGGAGTGGAGCTCCGGCAGTAAAGAGCCCAGGGGGCTGGCACATGCAACAAGCCCCACCCCCTGCTCCCAGCAGCCCTCAGTTAGAACAAGCAGCAGTCAGGTAAGATGCAGAGCCCCCCACCCAGCCCCCCGGCCCCAAACAGTCCAGTGGCACCTTTAAGACCGAGTTTTATTCAGGTATAAGCTCTCCCTCCTCTGTGAGGACACATCTGCGCGTTCCTCCCCCCCCCCCCAATAGCTAGCAATCCCAAACAGTCCATGCGAGCCTGAGCGGCGGGTGTTGCCCTCTGACACACTTCCGGTGATGTCAGGGGGTGTGGCATATGCAAATGAGTTATGCTAATGAGTTATGCTAATGAGCTCCTGCGCCTCTTTTTCTACGAAATGACCCCTGTATAGCCCCATCTATATGATGAAAACATCATTGCTAGCACTTTATCTTGCTATAATGTGGTTTTAATGGATTGTATAAAAAGTTTTATGATATCTGATGTTATTATGTTTTATCGTGTAAGCCGCCCTGAGCCTCCCCTAGGGCGGGGTACAAATTTGAAGGAATAAATAAATAAATTAACGTTTGGATGGGACACGGGATGTGCAGAGCTCTCCCTTGCCTGCCCCCTGCCCCGGATGCTGCAAAGGGGACAAAAAGAGAGAGACCGGAGCTGCAGTCAAATCTCCCTTCGGCCTTGTACTACCAGTTTGTTGTAGTGGTTAAGTGGAGATCCAGTTTGGTGCAGTGGTTAAGTGTGCGGACTCTCATCTGGGAGAACCGGGTTTGACTCCCCACTCCTCCACTTGCACCTGGCTGGATGACCTTGGGCAACCCATAGTTCTGATCAGAGCTGTTCTTGAAAAAGAGCAGTTTCTGTCAAGAGCTCTCTCAGCCCCACCTACCTCTCACAGGGTGTGTCTGTTGTGGGGAGGGGAAGGGAAAGGAGTTCGTAAGCCGCTCTGAGACTCCTTTGGGTAGTGAAGGGCCATGGGGTATAGATCCAGTCTCTTCTCTTCTTCGTCTACTCTGGACAGGTCCCTTTTCAGCCCCTGTTCTCCATCTGTAAAAGGGGGGTATTACTGATGTCCCACTGCGCAGGGCGGTTGTGTGGCTGAATGCCACAAAGAGCGGCATCCCACAGGAGTCGTGCTGAGTGCCCAAGAGCCGTGCACCGTTGTCAACCCTCTGTCCCGTCCCTCTTGTTTCAGGTGGCTATCATTGCCGGGAATTTCGAACTGGCCGAAATCATCAAAACTCACAAAGAGTCCGATGTTGGTGAGTCAGCCCTTTGATCCTTTCCGAGACGTTTATCTCCCTGCACGGTGGGGAATATTTGAAAAACCAAAGGGGGGGGGGGGAGAGGGGGCGGGGAGTTCAAACATGTGCTGCGGGGCAGTCTTGGGGGGGGAGAGGGCAGAGAGCAATGTTCCCTCTAAGCTGAGTGTGAGCTAGTTCACAGTTTTTTAGCCTCCGGCTCACAAGTTTTTGTCTTAGCTCAGGAAGGAGGGCTCCAGAGCACACTAATTTATGCAGCGGCCCAATCGCTGGTTCACAACTTTAGTGCCAGGAGCTCACAAAGCAGAATTTTTGCTCACAAGATTCCACAGCTGAGAGGGAGCCTTGGCAGAGAGGCTCCTTCCGGGAGGCTCCAGAGGGTGGTATGAGCAGGGGGGGGGGGAAGCACATTCCAGTAGAACGTGAGGAGAAACTCCCTAGAGGTGAGGAGGGTTGGACAATGGAAGCTCCTGCGGGGGTGGGGGTGGGGACGGGACTCTCCCTATCTGGGCGCCCATTGGCTGGGGATGTTCTGGCGTTTGGATTAGCCTGAGCTCAGTCACCCACCGGATGCCTTCCGGCTCTAAGGGTGTGGTTGCAGCCCATTCCGCTCTGCCAAGGGCCACTCCCAAATGGCAGCGGATGTGGCCTTCAGGACCAGGGGGCGGCCACTGCTGTGCCAGCACTCCACACACAAACATTTAGAAACTTCTTTAGTGCTTCCCTTGGGAATCAGGGCACTGGGGCCTAGTTCCCCAAGGGTCCTCTTGCGCCACTGAAACTAACAGGAGCTGGGCAAGAGAGCCTGCAGGTGGATCCTGTCCTTAGGAGGACGTAAGAATATAAGAAAAGCCCTGCTGGATCAGACCAGGGAGGGTCCCTCTAGTCCAGCCTCCTGCCTCACACAGTGGCCAGCCCAGGGCCGGCTCACCCACTAGGCAAACTAGGCATTCGCCTAGAGCGCCGGGCCCTAGATGGGGCGCCAAGTTGTGCCTCCCCCCTCCTCCCCCCCTTTGGTGGCAGCGGGGGGGAGGAGGCGGTGGTGGTGGCAGCAAAAGGGTGGCTGGCTCCAGAGGTCTCCAGGCCCCACTAGGAGGTTGGCATCTGCGCCATAAGGCAGCCTTGCCTAGGGCACAGAAACACCTCCAGCCGGCCCTGGGCCAGCCAGTTCCTCTGGAGGGCCAGCAACAGGGCAGAGAAGCCGAGGCCTTCCCCTGATGTTGCCTCCTGGCACTGGGATTCAGAGGCTGAGTGCCTCTGAATGTGGAGGTCCCCTTTAGTCACCATGTCAGCCCAAGCACATTTCAGGGGAACATGAGGAGAAACTTCCTAGGGGCGAGGCGGGTTGGACAATGTCTACTGATAGACCGCTCCTCCATTATTCCGCCTAGTCCCCTGTTAAGCCGTCTGTGACTGTGGCCCTCACTACATTCTCTGGCGGCAAACTCCACATTTTCATCACTCAGTTGTGTAAAGTGGTATTTCCTTCTGTCCGTCCTGACCCTACTGCCCATCAGCTGCATTGGATTCCTTTGAGTTCTACTACTTTGGGAGAGGGATAAAAAAAATTATCTTTGTCCACTCCACTCTGGGTATCAAGTTCCCCTTTAGCCATCTCTTTTCTGTGCGGAAACGTCCCAGCCTCTTCAACCTTTCCTTCCAGGGAAGTTTCCTGTCAGAGACCTCTGCTTGCTAGGTGGGGAACCTCTGGATCAGGCCTGCCGTGGGTCTCCTCCAGTCACCAGGGGGCGCCAAGTCTGCCTTCAGACTCTGTACCACCGCCCTGCTAAAACGGGGACCAGCCCTTCTAGCCAAGGAGCCCTCCTTGGAGCAGGAGGCCAGAGAAGGTTGTGTGGGGACCCCCTGGCTTTCCAGGGTAGACTTGTGGGTGGGAGGAGACCCTCTCTGGCTGGGCCTAGCCTCCCACTTGCTTCTTCAGGCAAGGTGGGTCTTGCTCCGTGTCACGGACTGTGGTGCCAGTCAAAGGGAGTCCAGAACAGGCCAAGGTCAGGAGCCTAGAAGACAGTGCAAAGTCCAAAAAGCCAAGCCGGGGCCAGGAGCCAGAAACACAGAGCCAAGTCCAAATCACTAACCAGAAACGTAGTCCAAAGCCAAGCCAGAGCCAGGAGCCAGAAACACAGAGCCAAGTCCAAAGCCAGGGGGACCAAAGGTCTAGGTACAAGAGCCGGGGTGGATGCAAGCAGCACGAAGCCGACTCATTGCTTCCACGAAGAGTCCTGCCCAGAGTGTGGAGTTAAATGCTGCTACCAATTAAGCCAGTTGTATGATCAGCCAGGCTCCTGTTAGAATTCTGGGCTGGCTGAGCGTCTCCCCTGTAGCCTGGCCTCTCTCCGCCTTCTTGCGAGTCACACGTGGGGGTGAGTCAGGAGTTCTTTCAGGGTGCAGTTCTTCCTTCTTATCTGGGCCAGGTGTGAAGACTGCTGTTACAGGCACTTGCCAGCTATCCTCCTCTGCTGCTTCAGAGGGGCCAGCTGTGGTTTCAGCTCATCCTCATCCACTCCGCAGCAGTGAGAACTGGAGGGTAGCAAGGCTCTTGGAGAGTCTGAGGTGCCATTTCAGATACACTTCACCTGCACTGCATTTCTTTTATTTACATTTATTTTCAACAAATAAATTAAAAACAAAAATGTACCTACTGTTATCATAACCTTTATTAACCACTATCAGTAAGGGACTTTTCAGCCTCCCTAAATACATTCCAACACTTGCTTTGGAAAGCACAGGGAACTGGGGACTTATCCTTGCTGGCTCGATGGGGCTCTCTGCAACTGCGCTGTTGTCTCGCCCCAGAGTGACCTGGGAGGGAGGAGGCTCAGGGGAGACCTTCTGGTTCCCGGGATGTGACTCTTGGAGGAAGCCTAGAAGGTTGTGGGGGGTAGGAGGTGTGGCGGCGGCCCTGTTTGTAGGCTCCCCAAAGCAATGCAGAACAAGATCTAGACCAGATGAGCTTTGGCTCTGACCCAGTCAGATTCTTCCCATGTCCCTGTGGTTCTCAGAGCCACACTAGTTGTGATATCTTCCCTGAGTCCGTGGGGTAGCCTCCGTCGTTTTAGGGATGACATTCCCTCGGTTTTCAAAACAGGAGCCCAATCCTGATTGGGACAGGGGCACGGGGCGAGGGGCTCCTTTACCCCCACCAGGCCATTTTGAAGAACCCCTCCGCCCAGCATTTGGGCTCTTGAAAGCAGCGTGCTGTCAGAACCCACAGCCAACAGCGAAGTACACGCATTCAGGAACGGTAATACTTTTATTGCAGAGCTATAGGATGCAGTAACATAAGCACTGTTAAGAATGGCGGCTGCCCCTCGGGCATAATAGGATATAGGGTATTCGTATGCATAGGGCACTGGCCAATTAGGCACCCTCCCGCGCACGGGATAAAGCCTGGAGACCATTAGGTAGCTAAAGCTGAGAACCAACACTCTCCCACGGCACCTAGGAGAAACCCAGGCAATACAACTCCCTCCTGCACATCTGTATAGATAAGCATTTCGGCGCAAAGCAGAACAGGCACAGAAAGGAATGCAGTGGCAATTAACCAGACACAGACCGAGCTCCCCAACCCCCATGGCAGCGTAGCTGACACGTGCCTGCTGGGTGTGTGTGTATGTGAACACGAGTGTCAGCATTCTGAGGGTGCTGAGGTAGGAATCGGTCATGTGGGACGTCCAGGACGACAGCCAAACCCTAAAGTCCCGGGGTCACCTAAGGCTGGTGGTCATTGAGTTACAGGACTAGTGAGTACACCGGTTGGTCTCAGGCAGACGGGCACGAGTGGATGCAACCTCTCCCGGGTCTCCAACTTCCTCCTCTCCGTCTCTCTCTTCCGAACCCAACCAAATCCTCCTCGGCTTCCACCTGTGGTTCTCTTTATTGCCTGTGGCTGTATCACCTGCGCCCCTCATCGCCCACTCCTTAAAGGAACAAAGCCACGCTAATACGCTCCCCTGCGATTCCTGTATTCCCCCACTCGTCTCTCCGTCTATCAGCTCCTTGCCGTGTCGTCCAGTCTCCTGACTGCCCTTTTCTTCCTCCTTTTCTAGGGGGGCATCCTTGGCCGGGCTGCAAGGCCAGGATTCCGGGTCCCCCAGGGGAGGGTCGCACTCCTTGATTGGCTGCCTGTCGGCTGCTGAGGGGGATGCTTCCTGCATAGGAAGGAGGAGGTTGTCCTTCACCTCCTGACAAAGAGCCCTTCCCCCATGTTGCACTCCCAACCAGTGTTCCCACTAAGCTGAGTGAGTGTGAGGCAGCTCACAGTCTTTTAGCCTCCGTCTCACACATTTCTGTCTCAGCTCAGGAAGGATGGCTCCAGGGCAAACTGATTTATCCAGCAGCCAAATCCTCGCTCACAACTTTAACGCCAGGAGATTATTTATTTAATTAATTTATTTATTTGTTATATTTATACCCCACCCATCCTGTGAACAGGCTCAGGGTGGCTAACAAAGCAGAACGATGTACCTGATTGGGATAACCATAAAAATTTCAGACTACATAAAGCACATACTCATTCATATGACATCATTTAACAGTTAGCAATAAAGTGCTCGCAGTACTAAGGGTTAGGTGGCGTGCTTCCCAGATCTAAATCCACGTTGTCCGTCCGGTCATCATCCCTCGAGCCGATGGGCCTGGCGATACAACTGGGCCAGTCCTAGGATCCAGAAGTTCAATAGGATCATTGATGGTAACAATAGTGGCGGCTCCTATTTGAAGGCCTGGCGGAAGAGCTCTGTCTTTCAGGCCCTGCTCACAAGACTCCACAGCTTAGAGGGAGCATTGCTCCCAACCCGGATCAGCTTATGTCAACAGAGGCGATGTCAACCCTGAAATGGCACAGGCGTGGCCACGTCTCGGTTGGCTCTCAGACGGAAGCAGAGGGTGGGGCCGCTTTCGGCTCTCGTATCCAGGGGCGTTTGTGCTGCTGCCAGAGGGAAGCGTGTCTGTCCCTCGTGCACCGAATTCAGCACAGAGTCCCA